GGGTTACCAACCAATCATCATCGTCCATAAAATACAGCAGTTATTGCATACTTCGTATGCAATAACTATATAGTATTGGATATGGACATGGATTTCCAAAAAAAGGGGTCCCTTAAAGCGGGGCAGATTACGTTATAATTAACCAATCAAATTGTTAAAATTTGATGATCCCAAATTTTACCTATAGAAACTACCCTAACCAAAGGTGGGCGCTAACCCTAAAGTTAATGAAAACGGTATATCACGTGATCTGTCTGCTTTAAGGACCCCTCAAAAAGAAAACTTTAGAAACAATATGTAACGTAGGCATGTACGTTCTTGTGTTAGTGTATACAAAATACGTAATAATTTGCATTAGGGATTGTTCGAACTTAATTTATTTATTGGTTTTAATCATAACAAACATGCGAGCAGGTTGAATCAATTAATAATATATACTCAATAATAACATTACGTATTACTGTATTATCATTGCTGCATTGTTATTAAGTGCTCTGGCTGAAACCTCATAACGAATTCAACCCATTTTAAGCTATATCGTACGTACATGTAACAAATTTCCAAAAAAGATGATTGAACGAAAAAGAAAGTATGATGCAATGGAAAACCAAGAAAATAAAAGTTTTAGAAATAATCGAAACAAATAATCGAAACAAATAATAGATACGGAAGTTTTAATTATTTTTAATGATTTATTAAAGTACACACATGCAGTTCGCCAAATAGAACAGCTTGAAATAATAACAAATTAGTCATCAAGAATGTTGACATGAACGACGATATACGAAGCAAGAAGCTCTACTTGGATTTCGTCAAGAAAATGTAAAACCAAGCAATTTTAATAAATATAATAAATATCAACTTTGTGTAATATATAACGATAATATTTTAATACATAAGTTATAATATACTAAACAATGTAAAGATTATGTGATAATTATACGATATCGTTATCGTATCGTTATCTTGTTATAAGATATATTCTACTTTATTTTGGTTGAATTTGCAATACAAAGCAAATGATAATGTACTGTACGTACGAGTGATGCCAAGGAAAACCGGAAATTTTCTCTAATAAGCAGGTTTTCCTTGGAAACACTATAAATGATATAATATAAAATGTTTCAATGATGTGTTTGTATATATACAATTTTTCTAATTAAAGGTGACAAGGGTTAAGAGGAACTGATGATGAAACTTGGTTAATGGTTTCTAAACAATTAGCTACATTTTGAAGGGTAATGTTGGATTGAAATTTTGATTTTGGGTTTTCTTCTGAATTTGTATAATTATGTTTCGATTTAGATAAAATCCTCCAACCTTTGGTCAGTTTAGTCTTTTTTTCAGTTTTTTTAATTTCTTCAACATGAAGATGTTTCTCAACTAGAGATTTGGATGTAGCTGTGTATTTCGAATTCTTTTTGTTTTTTTCGTTTTTTTCATTTTTTCGTGGCAAATCTATTTTATTTTAAAGTTAGTAATCTTGTTTTTTTATAGTTTCAATGGAATGAATTTTTCAATATTTACCATCATCTTTAGGTTTATATACTGGTTCAGGAAATTCACCACGTATTGCTGCAGAAGCATCGTCCGGCGATGCTACTTTATAATGCGACCTGAAAGTTTCATAAGGTGGTGGTTGCAGACTATAGCATTGTACGAGAGCTCCAAATATTGACCAAAATCCAGACATTTTTTATTTGTGTAGGAGAGGATTGCGAAAAAAATTGTTATAATAAAAATGAAAGATGGCTTCTATAAATTGGGAATATTTATATTCACGTTCACCATAATATGTATTATTGAATTTATCATTGATGATGCTATTTTTTTTTTGGCTAAATAAATGGTGATTGTTAACCTTATCTACGCGCACTGCAAATCGGCCGCATATCTATTATTGGTAATTAGTATAAATATATGTAATGTTGCATAGAGTCTATCAATAGGTGTAGTCTAACCGATAATGTGATTGTAGATTATGCGTTGTGATTTTATATTTAGTTACGCATGTGCTGATTGAGAAATTAATCGGTTTCATTGTTTTGGTGTGAACGTCGTATAATTCTTAAAATAGTAACCTATACGTTTCTGAATTGAAAAATCATATCAATCAGTGTACTGATCTCGTTGAATGTAATATGCAATCAACATTCTACACAACATTCTTTTAATACAACTACTGTATATCACATTCCAATCCTTCTAAATCCATTACATATATCGATATTTAAACTTTAAGTTCTCTACATATTTGGAACGGTATGTCTCATTTTCCGACATTACACAAGTACAATTTACTATCCATATATACCTGCAACTAATCAAATGCTAACGTCGGCCTGTGGGAAAATGACTGTCGGGAAAATGTGTGCTTTCATACACGATTAAAGCAAGATTTTTTTTTTTTTGTTGGGGTTAGCACTTCTTTTTGTTGCCAATCGAGAACAAAATCTAATCTATACTGTTAAGAATATTCACATTGATGCTCAATCAATTTAAAATAGAATTCTGCATATACCGATATAGTGAAAAAAGGTTGGCAATTTATAAATTAGCATTAATGACTTGCGGAGTCTGCAGACCGCAACAAAATTTTAAAGTTCCGCAAACAAAATCTGCATATAAATTTGTTTTTACTTATAAATTTCGATTAAATGTTATAAATTTTTATACCGTTTTTTAATTGGTTGCAGTCCGCAACTAATTTAAAAATTGAATTTCAGACACTGATTCAAAACGATATTAGAACTTATTAAAGCAAATTTTTATCTCCGTTTAAGATCATTATTTAATTAAAGCAAAGATTATTAATCAAATGTAAACGAATATAGAATTACAGTATTTATATGGTATCGGAAGTCTATACTCAACAATATCAGGAAATGTTTCAGTTTTCTCGTGATCATTGTTGATCAATAAGATTAATGTATTTCGATTTCTACGTCAAAAATTATAGTAAATGCTAAAGCTTTTTACGGATAAACTTTTTTAAAAAAACCGACCAAATAACTTTATACAAGAAACTAAACTCTACATTAACGGTTAGTTTTATAAAATAAATACTTCTATAGAAAGTTATAGTTAAAGAAGTACTATATTTTTTGGCACAGCAAGTGCAAAAAATAGAAATACATTATTAATCTTATTGATCAACAATGATCACGAGAAAATTGAAACATCTCTCGTGACTGTCGAGTATAGACTTCCGGCACCATATGTAATAAAATTATTTGCTAAATTAAAATATATAATATATGGGTTGATTTTTGGAATTAACTAATAACTTCTGATCCACTAATCCGTTTTAGATGATTTAACTACCAAAATGTTCATCTCAGTGAGAGGATTCTAACAAGCCCAAAATTGTTAAAATCCAATTACAGGATTCAAAGATAGTTTGAATTTTATATAAATTTAATAGTAAATTTAAAATTTTTAGATA